TGATACACCACATACATACTATCCACAAATGCCACACATCTGTACACCACACGGCACATGTACATACCACATACAAATCCACATATCACACTACTCACACCCCCATGCCATGCATGCACGTTGCACACACCACATAACCCATATAACATATGGACACATCAAACACATTATACAATCTACAATACCTGTATCACATACATCCCTCCCATCTGTGAGCCCCTTCCCAGCATGCCCCTGCATATGAGTCCACCTGGGCTTTTAGTCACTTCTGCAGAATGAACTCCAAACTCTTTGGCTGGCCATACCATGCACGGACACCATTTTTGTTTTGAACTTCTGCACCCTAGAGCTGGGCTACGGCACACTCACCGCTCCCTGCCTCACCAGGACAGTTGGACAAATGCTGTCCTCTGCTTTGCTAGTGCCTCTTTGCCTCCTCATTGAAGTCTTCTCTATGTAGAACCAGTCCACAGCTACCACTCCAGATTCAACTCAACATGTATCCAGCTCAACCAAGTCGTCTCCGCCTTTGCTGGAGCCCCTTGCTGCTTTGTCCACCCCACCCCTCAGTATGCCTCCTTCCGTATGTTTTATGACCATACGTACGTTTCAGCACCTGAGAGAATTAGTTATTCACTCAATACTGAAAACAGCTATCGTGTACCAGACACTGGAATACAGTGGGCTATCTCTGTTTTCCCGCTGCATAGCATTGGACCAGGGGAATAGCAGGCAATCAGAAAGTGTTCGTTGAGAGAATGCATTAAATTAAAAAAAAAAAAACTACAAATAATATCTTATCACATCATCAAGAAAACCCCCTCTGCTGTTCTCTTTTACTCTGTTAGCAATCCTGAAAAGTCAATTGAAGAGAGAAAACAGCACACCAGCACCATGCGAACCCAAAGCCATAAACCCCACAGGACCAGCGTCTTCACCCACTAATGACGGCAGATGCACCGCAGGAGTGCCCTCCATCCATTCTTGTCTCTATCATTCCCACTTCAGAGAGTCAAGTCTCTGGTTTTTAATTAGAGGTAAGCAACAATGTTTCTTTTTTACATTAACTTGCTATAAACGCACCTAATTCCCCTCAAAATATATGCTATTTGTGAATTAAAAGTCTTTATACATTAACTTGTAAATCGTGATTTATCATTCACTTTCCGCTGACAGAAAGCAATTCGAGAACAGATGACAGAAAGGCCTGAACAGTGTCACATAATCTATTGTTCTCTGCAAGGCTTCGAGGGAAGTTGCAGACGGTCTAGCTTGCCATTATGTTAGCATCCAACCCCCTGCTAGTCCCGGAAACTGTCGTGTAAACAGAGACCAGCAAAGTCACAGTGTGAACCTACGCTGGCTCACACTGAGCCTTTATTTAAGGTCATGAGTATTCTGGAAACAAGCAGTTACTTAGAGGGGAAATGACCGCCATCCTTGACTAAGTCTGGAGCGCAGAGGCAAAACAGTTGAACAAGCCAGGGGAACTGCATTCGTCAGCTTCCATGACTGTAGCAAATGCCTGCAATGGTCAGGTTATGAAGAGAAAAGGTTTGGCTCACAGTGTTGGAGGTTTCCATCCATGAACAGTTAGTTGGTTTTGCTGTTGTGGACCCATGGTATTACATCATGGCAAAGCAAAAACATTCACCTCAGGGTGGGAGAGCCAAAGAGAAGAAGAAGGGGCACACCCACTATTCTCTCCCAAGGGACACCCTCCATGATCTGGAGGCTCCCACCAGACCCCTCTTAGAGGTTCTACCACCTTGCAGTGTTTTCAGTCTGGAAATCAAGACTTGAACATGTAGACCTTTGAGAACATCACCCATCAAAGCCGTAGCAGAAACTGACCCAACTACTTCTTCGGATCTCTGGTGGTGATGAACCCAGGGCAAAGGAATAAATCAGCAAGTCACTAGATTCTTTTCCCTCTTGGTTTTTCAAGACGGGGTTTCTTTGTATAGCCTTGGCTGTCCTGGAATTTGCTCTGTAGACCCTCAAACTCACAGAGATCCACCTGTCTCTGTTTCCCAAGTGCTGGGATTAAAGTCATGCACCACCACCACTCAGCCACTAGATTCTTAAGGAAGGAAATGAAAAACACATCCCACAGATCTCCAGTGAGCCATGTTCAATGTGCAGCCTACTTAAAGTCATCTCATAGTAACGCTTTTTCTTTATGATCATAAAATAAAGCCTCAGGTGCAATTTTGACCCTCATCTACTAAGTTTAAAATCTCCAGGCACAAAAAGAAATGTGCGTATATTTTAACTGTTGATTTCAAAATGAATGACACAGGATGACTCGGGTTTGGGAAATCTCAGCCGTTCGACGAATGAGTCACTCTGCACAGCCTGGCTCTCTGAATTGCTGATGTGAGCCAGAACAGTTTGGAGGTTAATTACCTCGAATGTAAATATTCTCTGTGTATACTGAACACTTATCTTTTTAAAGAACGTGTTTTAAGAGTAGGAACCTTTTGGTACATTGCTGCTATCGCCAGGAGGTAGAATGAATCATTCGTTCGTATCATTACGTAGAGATGAGCCTAGAGTCAGTCAAGAGTGCCTCGCTTTGGAGTCCCAAGACTTCACTCAGGAGTTTTGATCCAGTTCTTAAGTCTAGAGTTATCCTTGATATCATGTTATCTGGAGTCACTCTTCACTGCTAGTTATGGAAGTCCTCACCCTCTTCTAAATGTGTAACTACGTAGATCATTATTTAGAATGTTTTAAGGGTTGTTATGCACCTCAGTTTGATAGAGTGCTTGCCTCACATACACAAGGCCCTGAGTTCAGTTCCCCCGCACCACGTAAGCCAATATGAAGGCACATGACCTCTGACCTTAGCCCTTAGGAAGACCAGAAGTCTAAGATGCCTACACAATAGGTTCCAGGCCAGGCTGGACTACACAAGGCCCTGCATCAAAAAGAAAGAACTGTGTCTAGGAAAACACTATGTTCTGAGAAAGTCTATGCAATTTATACCATCTTCTCTGGTTGCTAAGCAGATTCTTTTGCCAGCTCCCTGGTCCTTGGCTAAATTCCAGAGAAGCAGAGAAGAGCAACAGGTTTGCTAGGACACAGCTGGGGGCTCTTTACATTCTCCACCCTGGGATGGCACGCCCTCACGCCACCTCCAACAGCACCGTGGCCGCACGGAAGAACAAGAGCAAAAAGTGTCCACGCAGGAAAAATATTTAGATTGAAAGATTAATCTGTAAACTGGAAAATTATTCCTATCACATGTAATGGTTTCATATTTTATATTTCTGCATCATTTAGTAGCCCAAATTGGCCAGTATTTTACATAAGTATTTTCTCAGTTTAAGAGAGAAAAATTAACAAATGTGCCTCAAAAGCAGACAGAATTTTAATTATTTTTGTTTGTTAAATTATAAGATTTTTTTAAATGAAGCCATTTATTTTTAGTATCATACATCTAATTGCTTTACTTACTCGCTCGATAGCTACTATATTGGAAAAAGTCCTCACCATTACTCAAAGGGAAAAAATGCTGCATACACTTCTAAATAGCATAAAGACAAATTATTGTTAGTTTAACCAGCCCCTGGGCTTCCTGAACTCAAGCATTGAACATAAATGACTGTACTTAGATTCCCTGCATTCTACAAAAGGAGAAGTTTACATAATCCTGTGTGTCAAGTCCAAGGAAGCCAGCTCAAGCAGGTGAAAAGCTATGTGTTGACTTAAGGACAGAAGTGAGGTGGGCAGATCATTGGTCACCCTGGTCATGCGTCTACACCCAGGGGAACGAGGTCGGCCTTCAGCTATTTATAAATGTAGCATTCAAGCTTCAGCAAGGGGGCCCAGACACTGTGCCCTTCTGAGTAGCTGGTCTGGCCTGCCAGGCTGGGGCTGAGTGGAGTCTTCCCTCAGAATGACCCTCCATACTTGGCAGTTCAGGGTCCTTTGGATGCAGTCAGGAAAAGGCCTGCAGGATTCCTAGCTCCACTTCCACCCTATGATTCTATATAAGGAAACATCCCATTCTACGGTTTTCAGCATCGTAAGCGCTGTATCAGGCTGGAGGAATGAGGAAGCCACAGGCTCTCCTCTGCCTGTCCTAAAGGCTCACTCACTTCAGCAACCTCCAATCCTTGCTACCCAGGACTGGATCTTGTCAACAAATGGCAACCAGGACCCCCTGGGAGTCTGGTAGACTCCCAGCTAACAGGGAGCAGCTGGAAGAGGACCCTGCCTTCTTTACTCTGTATTAACACTGGGGGCTCTGTTAACCCTCCTGCCGCAGAAAAAAAAAAAAAACAAAGAATTTCCCTGCCCCCCAAAATCACAATCACCAGACTCTCACACCCTCATCCCCAGCCTCTCCTTACTCGAGATATAATTTATAATCACCACCCATAACGGCAGATGGCAAACCGCTGGACGCTTTGACTATATTTACTTTCTGTGTCGTCGCTGTGTCTGTAAATACTAAAAGGTTACTAAGAAACAATTCTGTTCTGTTCCTTAAAGTTTCCTCACAAAAGCCACACACTGTGGAGCCCAAGCCATGCCTGCTCTTCCCACAAGATCCCTTATCAATGCGGATAACGTCATGACCAGTAAGTGTGGCCACATCACAGCCACGCTGCAAATGTCATTTTGACAGCCTATAGCGTCACCTACATATTATTCGGAAGACAAACCTCTAAAACAGTGCTATCCGTGGGGGTTGGAGGAGAATGAATAATAAAATTGCATTTTCAGGTATTATTACAGCCTGTCTGAGCTCGGCGACTGGAAGGGCAGTCCTTAGCTTCCTGGTGTATTGCTGAAAACCAACGAGCCACGTTACCCGAAAGGAGCGGGGGGGGGGGGGGGGGGTGGTGGCAGAAAATCCAGACTCTACGTGACCTGACTTACTTATTTCCAAGGAAAGCGCAGGAGAGAAAAAAAAAATCAATCATTCATGCTACCGTAGCTACCACACGGAATGGACTAAGGAGTTCACAATGGACAAAACCCCAAAGCGGACAGAGGAGGTGAAGAGGAACAGGGTCGGAGGCAAATGCCCAGAGACCCGGGGGCCAGTAAGGATGAGGTCCCCGCGGAGTGGAGGCCGGGGGGCGGGGCCCGGGAGGGAGGCGGGGAGTCTGGATTCCCGGGGAGCCACGGCCACGCACTTACCCGGGCTGTTGGCCTCTCCTTCCAGGACGTGTAGCTCGGCGCAATCGGCCAGTGAGTGCTCCAGGCAGAGCTGGAGGAAGCGGGCCTGGGTCTGGCTCACGCGCTTGAGCAACGACAGCAGCGCAACAGTCTGCTCGCACTCGTTCCAGCCCTTAAACCAGCCCGCCAGCACCCCGACCTGGTCGCGAAACATCATGGTTAGGGGGCCGCCCTCCGTCAACGAAGCCTCTCGGCGCCCCTGCCCACCCCAAAGTTTGGCGGAGCCGCAGCCCCGCGGCCTCCCGAGACGCGTTCCGGTTCCAAGGTCTCCGGTGCCCGGGCGCTGCAGGTACTGATTCGGCTCCTGCTCTCTCTCTCTCTCTCTCTCTCTCTCTCTCTCTCTCTCTCTCTCTCTCTCTCTCTCTCTCTCGGTTCAGTTACGTTCCGGTGATTCAGGTTGATTCCCCAGAGCGGGTGACAGACAGTAGCACGGCGATGTTTCTTTTGTAAAAAATAGCGATTACAAATATAAATCCTTCACAAGGCACAAAACTGAATGAAGAATGCTCTTTCCCCTTTTCTTGAAGCTTAAGAATGGTGATTTCCGGCGTCCCGGGGTCTTCTCCCCGCTGGGCGGCAGCTCGGACCCTTCACACCCGCATTCCCAAACGGCAATCACTACTGAAAAGACAGAAAGAGCTGCAGTGAGACCTCGGCCCTCGGAGGAGAGCGTCTAGGGGGATCTGGGCACCAGGGGGAGCCCGGTAGAGGGGGTGTGTGGAAGCTAAGGTTGGGGGTGTCCCGTGGAGGCAAGTCCCCCAAATTCCAGCTGGCCCCTCCACACTCGGATGCCCAAGCTAAGCTATTGCACAGCTTCCTTCCCAGGTGCGGGAGGAGACCCCGCGGCTTCCTGTTGCTGCGGCTATGACCCGCTAGTGCTCCCTGCACGCCCCACCCGGGGTGGCCTCCAGGGCTGTGTCTGCGAACGCCAGCACCAGCAACAGATCCTCCCCGCGCTGAAAACTTGCAATGCGGCTGCGAAGGGGCGCGGGGGTGGGGTGGGGGCTAATGCAAAGCAGAGGCGGTGACAGAGGCAGCCAGGGTTCCAGCCTCCTCCTCTCCTCCTCTTCTTCCTCCTCCTCCTCCTCTTCCTCCTCCCTCTCTCCTCCCTCCTCCAATTCCTCCCCTCCCTCCCTCCTCCTCCTCCCGGAGAAGCAGCCGTACGGCTGCAGCTCCATCTACAGCAACAGCCAGCATCTCCACCGCCAGGCTCCCCTCTGAATTTAGGCCGTGAGCAGCCGCTGCGACAGCTGAGACAAAAATAAACTCTCCCTACCCAAAGCTCGACAAGGCTCAGTCGGAGCTCTCACTCCCCAGCGCCGCTCCAGCCCACCGGGGAGGTTTCCCGGGCCTGCTTGGCCCACAGCAGTCAGACGTGTGTGTGTGTGTGTGTGTGTGTGTGTGTGTGTGTGTTCGCGCGCGTGTGATTTAGGCATCCTGCTCCCGTCCCCGCCTCAGCCTGCGGGTCGGAGTGTCCTCTCCCGTGGGTCCCAGGACCAATGCGAAGCAGTTGTGGGAGCACGCCTTGCTCGGGGACCGTGGGAGCACGTAGTACTGCTTTCCAGAGAGGCAGGGCGGTCCCGGTGGGGAATGCAGATTCCTCCCTCCGGCATACGCCCCCCCACCCCAGGATCGCAAAGAAGAAAGTTAGGTTTGGGGGCTCTACCGTCCCACCCCAGCTCTGGTGGCGCAGCGAGTAGGAAAGACTAACCACCCGGCCCTCTGGGGGCCGCTCGCTTCCAACATCTGACGCCTAGAAGTTCTGAGTGGGAGTGCGAAGTCCCCGGGTAAGGGTCGGAGGGACCGCTGAGTGCCTCGCCGGAGGCAGTAGGAGGGACGCTCACCTCCACTCGGCTCATTCCTGCGGCTTGGGGCCCTGCGCGCGGGTCCAGGTCCGGGGCAGCAATCAGCGGGTTTGGGGGCGCTCGGAGCGCGGGCTGCGGGCCATGCCGTCGGGGCTGGTGGCGCGCGGAGAGTGCGGCGCTGCGGGTTCGGGGCGCTATCGCCGCCGCCGCTGCTGCCTCCAGTGTCGGCTCGCGAAGGACTGAGCCGCCCGGAGCTCCCCACATGCTACTGATTAACATGCACCATTACATCATGGGCTTGGCAGGGAGCGCCCGAGCGGGGGGAGAGGAACCCGGGCGGCGGCGGCACGCGGGGGAGTCGGGGGAGGATCCCCGGGCCCGGCGGGCGGCGGGCTGGGGGGAGGGACGGATTCCTAAGCCGGGACCGTAGAGGAGGTGGGAGCCAAGTGGGAGGAGCGGAAGAGCACAGATTGGAGGATCTGCAAAGCAAAGCACTGAAGTTGGGAGAAGGGGAGGGGTCCGGGAGAATTCCTCCAAGCTGCCACCCGCGAGTTCTACAGCGGCCGGGTCACCGGAGCCGCCAGAGCTGGGACAGGAGGGGACCCGAACGGAGCTGGAGCTGGGACTGTGCTGCCACCCGCTGCTCGCAATTGGGAATGTGGCTCTTCTGGTCCTGACCCTTTAGCCCAGCTGGTAGCTGATCGGTGTGGACTACCCGGAGTGTGGACACCGGAGTTACTATCGCTGGAGGCTTGGAGGGGTTCCTGGGATCTGGGATGCATAAGGACACAGCACAGGGTTGGATGTGCCTGGCCATAGGGCTCCACAGGGCCCTTGGCCAGGAGAGGCGGCGAGCTGTGCCTGATGGACCACCCTCGGCCAAAGGCGGTCGCTGGATGCCCTTTGCTTTGCGGTGTCCAGGTCGCGCTCTCGAGGAGAAGGCCGACTTCAGGAGTCCCATCTCATGCTATGCCTGGCGCACGGCTGTGGCTCATGGCCTGGAGCTGTGGCCCTAGACGCCCTGGGTGACAGAGAGGCGGGGCAAGGCCACCTGTCAGTGCTGCCGGGTGGAGGGGGAGGAGGTGGAGGCGGACAGTGGGCAGCCTTCACCTGCGCCTGCCTCGGGCGGGGGCAGAGGCTGGGCGGGCTTTTATTGCTTGAAGTTCTAGGATGCTGCGTAGAGAGTCACCTACTACCTAGAGCCTGGGCCAGTCTCCCACATATGTGATTGACTCAAAACACCCTAAACTTAAACATCTCTGCACCTTCTAGTGTTCACAAAGAGGACTCAGTCGAAACACAGCCTGCTTTCAAGGTAAACGCCGAGCCCTAGAATTTGTTTTCCAGCGACTTGGGGCCCATTTGTAAAAGAGAACTGGAAAAGCAAATGTGGGCCCTGTATTCCGCCTGCCCTGAAATGGCTAGCACAGTTTTTGAAGGTATAATCAAGAGCTTATTCCTCCATCTTTCAACTCCCGCACTTGCATCACGATTTCCAATCCTTTATTAGTCTCCTCCACAGATTTCCTTTCTGCCATGTGGAGGTCCTGTCGGAGTGACAACTCCTACCATCTGTTAAGGTATTGAAAGGGCTCGTGGGGCGGCAAAATGTTTTGCCAATGTTTCCATCAAAACTGAGATAGTGAATTTTTTAAAGTTCATTATTAACCCCCCAGAGGAGGCATCTGCATAATTTGATGAGTAGTTTGCTCTATTTGGGAAACATTAATCCCGGAGTCAGTATTTGACTTCTGATTTGTTTCGTTATTGTAGAAGCAGGAAAACTTTATAAAGCTTTTTATCCAGCATGCCAACTATTCCTTGGGAAATGGGGAAGACGTTGAGAGATGGGACCTCGCGGGGCTAACTCAGCCAAGGCAAAGATGCTCCTCATCTGGGGCTTTTAGCCGTCTCCGCGGTTATTTAAAAGAAAAAAGAAAAAGAAAGATACACCAATAACGTAATTATTGTCAGCTGCTACCTCAAACAAGGATGGTTAAGGCAGAGGGGCGGGGTGGGGGGGGGGTGTGGTGGCAAACACTCGAAGAAAGAAAATGGTGCCATCTACCGGAGAAGAGTGGTTCTTACAGCAGCCTTTGACCTAAGAACCGATGGCTTCGCTAGTCTTGGAAGTCTTGCTGTTCAATATACTATTTTGCATTTTCCCTCCTCCTGGGGAGAATCTGGGGAGGGAAGAAATTGGTGCGTGCTTGCTTAGCAAATAATATTCCTGGTCAACAACTCAAGTGTTCAAGTGTTTAAAAGATTGCTGGGTCCAGAAAGATCGGTTCCGTGTTTATCAGTGCTGCAGAGGATTTCTGAGTATTGTTTTATCACATATCCTTGAGGACATGTTTATGTATTTTTCAGTTCAAAATGCTTCTAGAAGAAATAAAGTAAATTGGACGAGATGGTTCAGTGGGTAAGGCACCTGCTGCGAGCAGGAGGACCTGAATCCTCTGAGAGGAGCTTTTCGGAGACAAGGGGATGTGAAGGCCAGTCTGACCAAGACAGTACGCTCCGGCTTCAGAGAAAGGTCCTACCTCTCCAAATAAGGTGGGGAGCAATAGAAGACACGGCAGAGGGCAAGGCTAGGGGACTTATTCTCAAGAACAAGTGCCAGGTCCTCAAGAGGAAATACCAAAGGTAGATGGCATTTTCATCCAACACGGAAGTTCGTGTGACACAGGATTATTTATTATATAAATAAATAAGTAAAATCTACATTGCTCAATTTATGTGATTATTGAATAGACTAAGAAAACATATACATAAACATTCAATATTCATTATATATGTGTCCTAGGAAAATGTATGATATTACCCTAAAAAAGTGATTTTTTTTTCTCAATATGGTAGGATCTCTGAGGGTTATTGTCTTCTTTCTCTGTCTTTCCTACAATAAATTAAAAAACAAAAGCAAATTGCTGCATGGGCTCATGACTGCAGCCGCACAGTTAGAAGACGTCCTGAAGAAATGCTGGTGACAACCGAGGAGAGCACTGTCCTGCAGATGGGAGGGGGAGAGCACTGTCCTGCAGATGGGAGGGGGCGAGCACTGTCCTGCAGATGGGAGGGGGAGAGCACTGTCCTGCAGATGGGAGGGGGAGAGCACTGTCCTGCAGATGGGAGGGGGAGAGCACTGTCCTGAAGATGGGAGGGGGGAGAGCACTGTCCTGAAGATGGGAGAGGGAGAGCACTGTCCTGAAGATGGGAGAGGGAGAGCACTGTCCTGCAGATGGGAGGGGATGCACTGATCCCTGCACCTCCCAGGAACCGGGACTGAGCCTCTTTGGCTTCTTCCTTTAGTCTTGTCCTAGCATCAGGAGCCAGCCTCCCGCCTCAGCTCTTAGCTTCCCTGACAGCTCAGACAACATTCACATTTCAGATTCTTCGGGTTGGTAGATAATATAGAAAGATTCCAGGTTTTGAGCAATTTCTGCTCCTCTGGGCTTCTAATTTATCACCCAGTCAACTAATGTCTACAACAAGAAGCACTTAGAAAATACAAGGCATCTATGCTGGACAAAGTAGAAGAGGCACTGATCTTTTGACCCACTAATTGAAAGCCTGATGTATATTTTTGCTATACATGTACAGATGTGTGTGTGCGCACACACACACACGGTACATTATCAAGTAGGTTGGATCAAAGCAAGCCTCAGAGTTGAGAAAGTCCAAAAGAGGCAGGCCTTCTGCCAGGAAACAAAGAAAGATGCTGTAAATCTGTTACCTTCCCAGCCTGAGCCAGTATTACTGGGATGAATTTGTTTAACTGAAATGGGCAAAAAAAATTTAAAAATAGATTATTTATTTATTAAAATTTTCCACCTCCTCCCCACCTCCCATTTCCCTCCCACTCCCCCTCTCTCTCCAGTCCTAAGAGCAGTCAGGGTTCCCTGCCCCATGGGAAGTTCAAGGTCCTCCCCGCTCCATCCAGGTCTAGGAAGATGTGCATTCAAACAAACCAGGCTCCCACAAAGCCAGTACATGCAGTAGAATCAAAATCCAGTGCCATTGTCCTTGGCTTCTCAGTCAGCCCTTATTGACAGCCACCTTCAGAGAGTCTGGTTTGATCACATGCTCCATCAGTATGGGCAAAATTTTAAATATTAATGACAACCAGTGGAAGGCAGGTGTATAGATATTGTTTATATCCATATGGCATCTGGAGAACTCCATGTCTGTGTGATGTAAGTTCATGTTTATTTTGGCAGTAGTAGGTAAAACAAGGGGAGAGAAGGTACTCCTCCATGCTGTAACGCATGTCAGTGGCAAGTGGTATCTAAGTTAGAAAGATCCCTTTTGGATTACCTGGTAATACAAGTTTTAAAGTAAAATTTTGCCTTACACCATCAGTGTAAGGCAAACAGTATTGAAGTGTAAGATAAGCAAAAAAAAAAAAATGTAATGAATCTTTCTTTGTATTGCCAGCCAGCTCCCAAATATTGACCTGGAGAC